GTCCCTTCAAGGTCTCGGGGAGGCCGGCCGAGCGGCCCGCGCGCGGCGGCCGGGCCTGCCTTCCCCTGCCTCTCCAGCCTCTCCAGCCTCTGGCTACGGGCTAGCTGGGCGCAAAGACTGTTACTGCTGTTGCCTCTGGCCTGTGTGTTAGTGTTTGCCAAGCCCTCTTTCCCTGGGTGTAGAGACAGCTCGCGTCACTTCATCGTTAACAGCATATCCGCTACTAAACCCTTTCGGTGTTTGCTTCTTCGGCTCTGGTCTTTACCTTAAACAGAAGGGGTGAAATTAGTGTATGAATGGACGCCACCTCCACCATTATGGCTGGTTTCCACAGCCTTGCAACCTCGAAAGCGTGTTATTTTATGATTAACGTTGAGCGTTGATATGAGAAGTACATTTCCCTTTGCACAGGGACGTCCCTTAAAAGACCTTGTCCTACAGATCTTTTCCTGAAGTTGGCGGGACCCAGCGGCTCACGCCTGTAACCTCAGCACTTTGGGAGGCGGAGGCGAGAGGATTGTCTGAGCTCAGGGGTCCGAGACCAGCCTGGGCAACTTGGCGAGACCTTCTCTCTACAATAAATCAAAAAAATTGCCGGGCGCGGTGGCTCAAGCCTGTAGTCTCAGCACTTTTTGGAGGCCGAGGCGAGAGGATTGTCTGAGTCTAGGGGTTTGAGATCAGCCCGGGCAACTTGGTGAGACCTCGTCTTTACAATAAATTTAAAAAATTAGCCGGGCGTGGTGGCATACTCCTACACTTCCAGTTACCTGGAAGATTGAGGCGAAGGATCGCCGGAGCCCAGCAGGTCGAGGCTGCAGAGGCCGGGTGAGCATGCTACTGCACTCTAGCCTGGGCGACAGAGTGAGACTCCAACTCAAAAAAAAAAAAAACAATTACCTGAGTGTGATGGCGCGCATCTGTGGTTTCAGCTACTTGGGAGGCTGAGGCAGAAGGATTGCCTGAGCTCAGCAGGTTGAGGCTGCGGTGGCCATGAGTGTGCCACTGCACTCCAGTATGGGCGACAGAGTGAGACTCAACTCAAAAAAAAAATCCTGAAGTTGTTGTCTGAATGATAATCCTGGATCCCAGTCTTTGGACGCATTGAAATGAATGATCCTTACTTATTCATTCAATTGATAATAACTGAGCATTGACTAATTAAAGATTCTCTAAGGATAGAGAAAACATCTGACAAAGGTCTGGTATCTGTAATATATAGCCATATGTAGCAATAATATGTAACCTAATTTTAAAATGGGTAAAAAGACTTAATACCGCACAAGATACTCAAATGAACAATAAACATGCCATAAGGTACTCAAAATCATTACTTTCCAGGAAAATATAAATTAAAGCCAGGAGGTACTACTCATCCACCAAGACGACTAAAATTTAAGAGACTGACAATAACAAGTCATGGGAATGTGAAGCACCTGAAACACTCATACATTGCTGGTGGGAATGTAAGATGTTACAGCCATATTGGAAAACTCTCAGTTTCTTAACAGTTAAACCTACCCTATGACCCAGCAATTCTACTCATAGGTTTATTACCCGAGAGAGAGGAATGCATATACCTACAAAAAGACATGTAGGCCAGGCTCAGTGGCTCAGCCTGTAATCCTAACACTTTGGGAGGCCCAGGCAAGTAGATTGCCTGAGCCTATGGGTTCGAGACCAGCCCAGGCAACTTGGCGAGACCTCGTCTCTTCAATAAATAAAAAACTAGCCGGTGTGGTAGCATGTGCCTGTAGTCCCTGCTACTTGGAAGGCTGAGGTGGAATGATCGCCAGAGCCTAGCAGGTCAACGCTGGGGTGACCATGAGCATGCCACTGCACTCCAGCCTGGGCTGCGGAATGAGACTCCAACTCAAAAAAAAGAAAAAGACATATGAAAGGTTCACAGGAAAACAAAGTTAATAGCTTCATGTATACTACCTTCCAAACCAGACACAATCCATATGTCCATTATTAGGATAAACACATTGTGGTAACTTTGGTAAAATGGAATAGTATGCAGCAATATTCACCACTGATAGATGGAAACAAGAATCTGTAAGATACACAGTAAGGAATGCTTGCTGCCCTCCTAATGGGAACAAAGACCCGTATTCAGATACTCAGACTGCACAGCTGTAGGTAATAATATTATGCAATAATTACATATACCATTAGCAAAATTAATCGAGTACCTCTGTGACAAGGCTATACTCAGTGCAGGGACTACAGTACTAACAAGACAAATATAGAATTTAGAATTTAGTTGTGATCCCTGGCTTGCAGAGAGAGTAGAATTTCAACAAACTATTTGGAACAAACTGCTGGGAAATCATAAAGCACGGTTTCAGAATATTAAGTGATGAAAAAGAAAACAGAATAGAATAAGTCTGGCTAGACACTGTGGCTTGTGCCTGTAACCCTAACAGTTTGAGACAGAGGCCAATGCGAGAGGGTTCCTTGGGTTGAGGAATTCGAACCTAGCCTGTGTACTATAGTGAAACCTCAAATCTACAAAAAAAGAAAAAAGTTAGCGGGCATGGTGGCACATGCCTGTAGTCCCAGCTACTCAGGACTACTGAGGTGGAAGGATCGCCTGAGGCCAGGAGATTGAGACTGCGGTGAGCCATGAGCGTGCCACTGCACACCAGACTGGGTGACAGAGTGAGATCTCCAACTCCAAAAAAAAAAAAGAGTGACTAGAACAAAATCCCCAAACTTAAAATTTAACAGAACTTTCCTGACATAAAAGAAAATCTCAATCTATATCTTAAATTTTTTTTTTAAAGTTGGAGTCTCACTTGGTTGCCCAGGCTGGAGTGCAGTGGCAGGCTCACAGCCACCCCAGCGTCGACCTGCTGGGCTCCCGCAGTTCTTCTGCCTCAGCCTTCCAAGTAGCTTAAACTACAAGCGCGCGCTACCACGCCCAGCCAATTTTGTGATTTGTTGTAGAGACAAGGTCTCACCATGTTGCCCAGGCTGGTCTCGAACCTGTGGGCTCAGGCAGTCCTCTCGCCTTGGCCTCCCAAAGTCCTGGGATTACAGGCTTGAACCGTTGCACCCAGCCATAGATCTTAAAATTTTAAAGAAAAAAATATTTGGTGATCCCAGCAAGAAACTCAAACATTCAACCGGGAACAAAAATCATCAGAGTTTTCAAAAATAATACTTAATAAAAGAAGACTTACGGATAACATATTCAAGGTAATTAAGAAAATAAATGTAAAAGAAACATTTATTGAACGCTGGAATCAGTATAAAGGCCACAAGCTCTTTTGAACCTTTTTTTTTTTTGAGTTGGTGTCTCATACTGTCACCCAGACTGGAGTGCAGTAGCCACTCCCGGCCACCACGGCCTCGACTTGCTGGGCTCCAGCGATCCTTCTGCCTCAGCCTTCCAAGTAGCAGGAAGTATAGGCGTGCGAACCATGCCTGGCTAATTGTTTTGATTTATTGTAGAGATGAGGTCTTGCCAAGTTGCCCTGGTAGGTCTTGAACCTGCAGGCTCAGGCAATCTACTCGCCTCAGCCTCCCAAAGTGCTGGGATTACAGGCTAAGCCACCGAACCCAGCCTCTTTTGAAACTTTAATAACTCATTTCCAGGAGCCGTACTATATCTGTTAAAGAATTAGCTTCAGACAACTACAAAGATTTGGAGGTGTTTCAACATAAAAACTGGGGATGCACTGAGACCAACCTGGGCACCATCTTTATAAAATATAAAAATAGGCTAGGCGTGGTAGCTCAGCCTGTAATCCCAGCACTTTGGGAGGCTGAGGTGAGAGGATTGCCTGAGCCCGGGGGTTCGAGACCAGCTTGGGCAACTTGGCGAGACCTCGACTCTACAGTAAACCACACACACAAAAACAATTAGCCCAGGCATGGTGGTGTGCGTCTGTGGTTCAGCTACTTGACTGAGGCAGAAAGACCACCTAAGCCCAGCAGGTCGAGGCTGCAGTGGCCATGTGCGTGCCACTGCACTCCAGCCCAGGTGACAAGAGTGAGACTCTGACTCAAAAATAAATACATACATAAATGAATAAAATAGGTCAGGCGCAGTGGCTTGCACCTATAGTCCCAGCTGCACAGGAGGCTGAGTCGGGGATCTCTTGAGCCCACGAGTTTGAGGCTGCAGTGAGCTATGGTCATGCCGCTTTGCTCCAGCCTGGTGACAAGTGAGAGCTAGTCTTAAAACCAAACAAACGATATTTAGAAAGGCAAAAATTAAAGGGCCATCAACTGATCTGTGACAAAGGAGCAAAGGCAATACCATGGAGAAAAGATCATCTTTTCAACAGATGGTACTGAAAATTTGGATGCCCATGTGCAAAGAAAGGAATCTAGCCGGGCTCCGTGGCTCAGCCTGTCATCCCGCGCCTTTGGGAGGCTGAGGTGAGTGGATGGCCTGAGCCTGCGGGTTCGAGACCCGCCTAGGCAACTTGGCGAGACCTCATCTCGACAATAAACCAAAAAATCAGCCGGGCGTGGTAGCGCACGCCTGTAGTTCCAGCTACTTGGAAGGCTGAGGTGGAAGGATCGCCGGAGCCCAGCAAGGCAAGGCTGTGGTGGCCGGGAGTGGCCACTGTACTCCAGTCTGGGTGACAGAGTGAGACTCCAACTCAAAAAAAAAAATTAAGACAACAATGAGCTACCACCACACAGCTTCTTGAGATGCGGAGGTAGGAGAACTTGAGACTCTAAGTTCGAGACCAGCCTAGGCAGCATAGCAAGACCGAATCTCTAAAAAAAGATTTTTAAAACTACATAGAGATAACATTTTTTTATCAATTAAGTTTCTTAAAAAACCCACCCCCAAGCCGGGCTCAGTGGCTCAGCCAGTAATCTCACACTTTGGGAGGCTGAAGTGAATGGATTGCCTGAGCCCGCGGGTTCGAGACCCGCCCGGGCAACTTGGTGAGACCTCATCTCTACAATAAATCAAAAATTAGCTGGGCATGGTAGCGCACACCTGTAATTCCGGCTACTTGGAAGGCTGAGGCGGAAGGATCGTGGCCACTGCACTCCGGTCTGGGCAACAGAGTGAGACTCCAACTCAAAAAAAAAAAACAGCCAACACCAGGTCTGACAAAGGCTTAACATCTTGGATCTACAAGGAACTAAAACGTGCTGAAAAGAAAAAAAAAGTAACCCCATTATCAAATGGGCAAAAGATATGAACAGACACTTCACAAAAGAGGACATCTGATCAGCCAACAAACACATGAAGAAATGTTCAACCTCACTAATCATCAGGGAGATGCAAATCAAAACCACACTGAGATATCACCTAACTCCGGTCAGAATGGCAATTATCAACAACTCAAAAAAAAACAGCTGCTGGAGAGAGTGTGGCAAAAAGAGAACACTTCTACACTGTTGGCGGGAGTGTAAACTAGTGCCACCTCTGTGGAAAGCAGTGTAGCAGTTCCTAAAAGCTCTAAATATTGACCTCCCATATGACCCCGCAGTCCCCCTACTGGGAATATACCCTGAAGAACTCAAATCACTCTATAAAAAAGATACCTGCACACGAATGTTTATTGCAGCATTCTTCACAATAGCAAGAACCTGGAAACAACCATGCTGCCCATCAAAAGAGGACTGGATTAAAAAAATGTGGTACCTATACACGATGGAATACTATGCAGCCATAAAAAAGAACAAAATCATGAATTTCGCAGCAACCTGGATGGAACTAGAGTCTATAATACTGAGTGACCTCTCACAGAAACAAAGATCCGAGTATCACATGTTCTCACTCATATAATGAACCTTGAACATCCAATGTAATACCAAAAGAAAATGACTGGTACTGGGAAACTATGGGTGGGGGAGGGGGATGGGATTAACAGTAGCAAATATCTGTCTGGGGAAGGGGAAACACCTCTTATCAACAGGGTGCCTGAATGAAACATAATTGTACACCTAACCCTTAACTGTACCCCACAAAACCATAATAAAAAATATTGATTAAAATAAATAAATAAATAAATAATAAATAAAATAAACCAAAAAAAACACAAACAAACAAAAAACAAAAAAACCCACCCCAAGTTGGATAACTTGGTCTGTTGGCAAACCTATAGGGAAGCAGGCACTGATTCACTGTAGTGGAGCTGTGAAAGAGTACAGCCCTCTGAAGGGGAGTTCGGTGTTTTTACCTTTTGGCCCTAGCAGTCCTTTTGCCTAGGAGTCTATCCCACAAACACTGGCCAAGAGTACTGGTGGATTCACTCCATAGCATTGTTTGTAATGAAAGAAAGACTAGAAACAATGCAAATATACATTAATAGGGGACTGGTTGAATAGGTTCATGGCGTTTGTCATGAATCATTCTGACCCTTCTAATTTCAATCTTATTACCACAGCATTCTTTCTTTTTTTTTTTTTTTTTTGCGTTGGAGTCTCACTCGGTCGCCCAGACTAGAGTGCAGTGGCCGCTCCCGGCCACCGCAGCCTCGCCTGCTGGGCTCCCGCGATCCTTCCGCCTCAGCCTTCCCAGTAGCTGGAACTACAGGCATGCGCTACTACGCCCGGCTGATTTTTTGATTTATTGTAGAGATGAGGTCTCGCTGCCCAGGCGGGTCTCGAACCCGCGGGCTCAGGCAATCCACTCACCTCAGCCTCCCAGAGGCGCAGGATTACAGGCTGAGTCGCCGAGCCCGGCCTAGCATTTTCTTACCTTCCCTCATCCTGTACTTGTATTTTCCTCCTTCTACGAGGAAATCCCTGGTTCCCCAAGACAACAGTTTAATCCTATAATATATGCAAAATGGCTCAGAATAGCTATATCTATACAACTACCGACAGCCAACCTTGTAAGTAAGTTCAATATTTCTTTGTATTTTTACCTTTAGACTGAGGGTATGTAGTCCATCCTTGCTGCAGTGAGCTATGATCATGCCACACTATAGCTACAGCCTGGACGACAGAGTGAAACCCTATCTCAGAACAAAAACAAAAAACCCCACAAAGATTTTAAAACATAATAGCCAGGCATGGTGGTACGCCCCTGTAGTTCTAGCTATTTGGAAGGCTGAGGCAGAAGGATCGCCTGAGTCCAGCTGCTCGAGACTGCAGTAGCTGTGAGTGTGCCACTGCACTCCAGCCTGGGCGACAGAGTGAGATTCTGACTCAAAAAAAGAAAAAAATTTAGAAACATAAAACAGATTTACAAAGGTTAAAAAAATAGTACTGTCACATTGGGAACTAAGTTAAAAGAAATCTTTAAAAAGTTTTAAAGTATTGGAGTTCACCTGAAAAAAGACCAGATCAGTAGGCTTATTAGAAGAATGAACTAAGGCCGGGCATGGTGGCTCACGCCTGTAATCCCAGCACTTTGGAAGCGAGAGGCGAGAAGATTGCCTGAGCTTGGGGGTTCGAGACCAGCCTGGGCCACTTGGCAGGACTTTGTCTTTATAATAAGTCAAGAAAAATTCACCAGGTGTGGTGACATATGCCTGTAGTTCCAGCTACTTGTAAGGCTGAGGCAGAAGGATCGCCTGAGTCCAGCAGGTTGCGGTGGCCATGAGCATGCCACTACACTCCAGTCTGGGTGAGAGTGAAACTCCAACTCAAAAAAAAAAAAAATGAACTAAAGTCTCTACCATGATTATTTTTGTAATCTGGTCTAGCACTATGTACAAAACTTATTTGGATTAGCTTCTTTTTTTTCCCTTAATGACATTATCTAACTAATGTACATTGGAGCTATTTGTTTCTTTCTGTATTTACATTTAGAGTTTAAAAAGACAATTTGAGACGGATTTGAGCATAAACCAAATATTAGATGACAGCGAGGAATTACTGTTAATTTGTTAGGCATGATAAAAGTATTGAGGTTTGTCTGAACAAATATCAGATCAACAAGCTTATTAGAAAGATGAACTAAAGTGTCTACCATGATTACTTTTATAATATGGTCAGTTAAACAGTGACTGCTTTCAAATTGGGAAAAATAAGTATTGGAGTTAATAACTTTACAGACCTCTTTGTTGGTGATACAAGTGGAAGGCATTAACAGATGAGACGGGATAAGATAGATGAGATTTGTTTCATGGTGGAAGGGCATGAAGAAAGATTATATTACTGGTGAGTGTATCAGGATTTATTATACTATTCTCTCTACTTTATGCATTAAAAAATTTCTACCAAAAAGGGGGACTACAAACATGGGACTTTAATTTTTTTTTTGAGTTGGAGTCTCACTCTGTCGTCCAGGCTGGAGCGCAGTGGCCGCTCCCGGCCACCGCAGCCTCGACCTGCTGGACTCCGTGATTCTTCTGCCTCAGGTTTCCAAGTAGCTGGAACTAATGTACAGACAGGCGCCACCATGTCCGGCTAATTTTTTTTATTTATTGTAGAGACCAGGTCTCGCCAAGTTGCCCAGGCTGGTCTCAGACCCCTGGGCTCAGGCAGTCCTCTAGCCTCAGCCTTCCAAGTAGCCGGAAGTACAGGTGTCCGCTACCACACCTGGCTAATTTTTGGTTTATTGTAGAGACAAGGTCTCGCCAGGTTGCCCAGGTGGGTCTCGAACCCGCAGGCTCAGGCAATCCTCTTGCCTTGGCCTCCCAAAGTACTGGGACAACAGGCTGAGCCACTGAGTTCGGCTGGGGAAGTCTGGGCGACAGAGTGAGACTCCAACTCAAAAAAAAAAACAGAAAACTGCTTATCCTTTAAGAGAATTCAAATGTCTGTCACCCAGGCTGAACGTGCAGCGGTGCAAACATGGTTCACTGCAGCTTCGAACTCCTGGGTTTAAGTGATCCTCTTAGCTCAGCCTTCAGAGTACCTGGGACCACACGTGCACCTCACCATACCCGTCTAGTTTTTTAATTTTATCTTTTGTAGAGATAGTGTATCACTGTGTTGCCCAGGCTGGTCTTAAGCACCTGGCCTCAAACTATTCTCCTGCTTCAGCCTCCCAGTGTGAGATTATAGGCATGAGCCACTGTACCCGGCTCCTTTTCGAACTTCTAAATAGGAGAAGGCCATGTGTGGTTGCCCACACTTGTAATCCTAACACTTGGGGAGGCCAAGGCGGGAGGATTGCTTGAGCCCAGGAGTTTGAGAACACCCTGGGCAACATAGTGAGACCTCATCTCTACAAAAATAAAAATGAAAAATAAATAGTGAAAAGTAGGATAGATAGAACATTGACTTAAGTTTGGTGATGAAAGGGAAGAAACAGAGAGACAGAGAAAGGTTTTTTTGTTTTTATTTTTTGTTTTTATTTTTTATCTTCTTTTGAGTTAGGGTCTCACTCTGTCGCCCAGACTGGAGTACAGTGGCACATTCACGGCCACCCCAGTGTCAACCTGCTGGGCTCGGGAGATCCTTCCACCTCAGCCTTCCAAGTAGCTGGAACTACAAGCACGTGCTACTGTGCCTGGCTAATTTTTTTATTTATTGTAGAGATGAGGGCTCATTAAGTTGCTCAGGCTGGTCTCGAACCTGTGACTTCAGGCAATCCTCTCACCTCAGCCTCCCAAACTGCTGGGATTATAAGCATGATCCACTGCGCCCTGCGGTGTTATTTTTAACATGGAAGACTTGAGCATGAGTTTATGCTGAAAGCGAGAATATAGTTCAGAATTTTCTCATGACAGCAGAATTATGGTGGTGAATTTTCAGGTCAGTCCAAAGGCTATTTATTTCTGTGCCCATCTAAAATGCATTGCCCCCTCGAGTCCCCCCCCCAAAAAATAATAAAATTAAATTAAATTAAAAAATAAACAAATGAAGCCGGGCTCGGTGGCTTAGTCTGTAATCCCACGCTTTGGGAGGCTGAGGTGAGTGGATTGCCTGAGCCCACGGGTTCGAGACCCGCCTGGGCAACTTGGCGAGACCTCATCTCTACAATAAATCAAAAAATCAGCCAGACGTGGTAGCACGCGCCTGTTATTCTGGCTACTCGGAAGGCTGAGGCGGAAGGATCACCTGAGCCCAGCAGGTCAAGGCTGCAGTGGCCATGAGCGTGCCACTGCACCCCAGCCTGGGTGACAGAGACTCTCACTCAAAATAAATAAATAAAATAAAATGCATAATATGTAGTACAAATATATTGCAGGTAAACATACCTCAGTCTCATGTTACGTAGCCATTTATAGATCAGTTGCAAATAGTACTTAGCTCATTAGATTCTTAGTATTGTATATTCCAAGATTTTTATACTAATACATCCATTTAAGATCATCTATGCCACTATCTGGAATTTTATGAATAAAAATGTTAATATTTTTGCCAAGCATGGTGGCTCACACCTGTGATCTCAGCACTTTGGGAGGCTGAGGCAAGAGGATTGCCTGAGCCCAGGAGTTGGGGACCAACCTTGGCAACATGGAGGCCTCATCTCTACGATAAATAAAAAAATAAATTTGCCAGCTTGATGGCATGCGCCTGTAGTCCCAGCTACTTGGGAGGCTAAGGCAGAAGGGTCATCTGAGCCCAGCAGGCCAAGGCTGCAGTGGACATGATTGCACCACTGCATTCCAGCCTGGGCAACGGAGTAAGACTCCAACTTAAAAAAAAAGAGTCTGACTGAAATAAATAAAGTTGCAGTTAAATTGGGGCCAGGCACAGTGGCTCTCGTCTGTAATTATAGCACTTTGGGAGGCTGAGGTGGGAGGACTGCTTGATTCTGGGAGTTCTAGACCAGCCTGGGCAACATAGCAAGATTTTGTCTCAACAAAAACAATTTTAAAAATTAGCTGGATATAGTGTCGTGTGCCTGTAAGTCCCAGCTCGTCAGGAGGATGAGGGGGGAGGATCACCTGAGCCCAGGAGGTTGAGGCTGTGGTGAGCTCTGATCGTGCCACCGTACTCCAGCCTGGTGACAGCGTGATGCCCCTCCTCAAAAGTAAAATAAAATAACAATGAAGTTGCTGTCCAATCATAAATCATTTTATTTTAGCGAAGGTATCTATTTATGAGGCTTAGCAGATCATTTCTTTTACAGTTGATGAGGTTTTTTTTCATGCATTTTATTTTTCAGGTGGTGAAGCCACACACTCCATTAATAAGATTCCCTGACAGAAGAGACAATCCTAGACCCAATGGTAAGTTCGTACTTTATTTAGATATTCTTTTATATTCTTCAATTCCCATGTTTTGACTTTAATCCCAGCACTTTGGGAGGCTGAGGTGAGAGGATTGCCTGAGTCCATGGGTTCAAGACCAGCCTTGGCAACTTTGTGAGACCTCATCTCTGTAATGAATCAAAACATTAGCCCAGTGTGGTGGTGCATGCCTATAGTTCCAGCTACCTGGAAGGCTGAGGCAGAAGGATCACCTGAGCCCAGCAGGTCCAAGACTCTGGTGGCCATGAGCATGCCACTGAACTCCAGCCTGGGTTTCCAAGTGAGACTCCAACTTAAAAAAAATAAAAATAAAATACAATAAATAAAATGAGATACGCTTTTATAGCTTAGGTCCAAATGGTATTGTGTGTAGCATACAAATAGAGATTAAGTTTTTAGTACCCCTGTTTTAAAAGCTAGTGACTCAACAGTAGATGTCTTTGAATTTTTAGTGATACTGAATTTATATGGCAGAATTTTTTTTTTTTTTTTT